CCAGTGCTTTGACTTCCTCTACTTTCTCTTCAGGAAATTTCCCTCCGTAAGTCACTTTGGCACTGTCCAGTAGTGCCGGTTTGCTGTTTCACAGGAAAAATTTAATAAACATAAACCTGATTGAAATTGTTTAAAAATACAGTGTAATTAATGGCATAAAGCAAAAATAAATCCAGAATAAACTAGAATGGGTCTGTGCTCTTTAAGTGGGAAATTAATCAGCCTTTTATGTGAATCTCTCGGCCTTTAACAACAGCACTTCTAGAGATATGAAAGAAACTTTTTTTCTAAAGCCTATAATCCCCATCTCTGGAGAAAATGTCTTAATAAGAAATTCTTGAAAGGCAGCAGGACTGCCCAACTTAAAATATTCAATGTCAAGTTTATGAGCTAATAGTGCTACTTTGGTTCAAAGTCAAGTATCCGCACTTCAGAATAACTTAACCACATGGAACGAAGATGAATGCCTGAACCAATGGGGGGGGAAAAAAAGAATTATACAGGTGGATCAAAGGAGGCTTTAACATAAAGCTCTACCAATAAAATAGAGCCATTTTATTCCACTGGTTCACAGTCACCATCCAACTAACGTCACTACACTACTTTAGGAAGCTGTCCCACTGAGACTGATCTGGGTGTGCTTTGTTTGAATATGTATTTAATTACTGTATGAAATGTCACTCTTACCGGAGCAGGTTTGGCTCCACTGGTTTCTGTGAACAGCAGGCAAAAGCCAGGATCTTGAACATGTCAGTAAAGGCACTTCCATCGGCGGGCTTGTTGATGAAAACCATACGTCCCAGGAGAAAGACCAGGAAAGAGATCCCAAGGCACACAGTAGGAAGGATGTAGCCAACCTCAAAGCTAACGTTTTGCTGGATGTAGGCCACACCTCCCAGTGACAGGATGGCACCCAAGTTAATAGACCAGTAGAACCAGTTGAAAAATCTGCGAGTGGCCTCTGGTCCTCTGTCTTTAACCTGCGAGCACACAAAGCACAGGGTGACGTTTTTTCTTTTCTTTAATCCAAACATAAAGAGCGTGTAAGAAGAGTAAGTGTACTCTGAACTTTGCAACAGTGGTTTGTCATGAGTTTGTAAGTTAACTACCAGCATCTGATTGTTATAAAAAATAAGTAAAGTCACAAGTCCTCTGATATAAAAGATTAAGATTTCAAAGCCAGGAAACAGAGTTTAAATTGATTTAAACTATGGCTGCATGACTCAAAGCTATAACATATAGTACAAAGTACAGTTTGTAAAAACCTAAAATGATCAAAAACACAACGGTGAACTGTCAATAACAAAGAGAAACAGTGATCACAAGCTGCATGAGTCAACACGTTTGACACATTTATAGTAAAATATACATAGCAATACTGTGCAAACTTTATAATAACTTTATCATTTTATCATCTCAGCTGAGTGAAATGAGCAGAACAATAGAAGCAACGTTTTCTTTATTCTCTATCTGCTTATTCGAGCTTTTAGCATTCTTTAAAAGGTTGCAATTAAAGGTTATAATATTGGCTTAGTAACGCTGCAATAGCTGTCTATGCAAACACATAACATTATCATCTGATCCATCCCACATACAGTTATTCTTTTGAGTGAAAAGATTTTCTCAATTCCTGATGGATATGTCGCTTATATACAAGCACAAAAGATGCACTGGTACAACTAAAACATGCTGAACATAAGGTCAATATATTCAGCATAAATCTTTCTGGGGTTCATCAGTGCATTTGTGCAGAGTCAGTTATTAAAGTAATTCCATCATGGCATAGCTGGAGAAATAAATTCTTGTCAGCTGTCTGAAATTACTGGGATTTTTGCAATGATTAATCATAAAATGTTGTCCAAGCTTCATATAGGTCACAATTATAGTAAACACAACTTAACTAAACTCACAACTCTGTGTGAACCTCAGTGGTATCCAATTAAGAAAATGAGGCTGGATGGTTGTTGGGGTGCCCCTCCATATAAAAAAGGCATAAAAGTCTGACTTTTGATTGGTTAACATAAACGATGAACACCTCCCTCTTGATTGTAAAAGCATTTAGAGATATATGAAGCTATAAAAGGCTGTAAAAGCATTTTTCTAAAGACCTGGAGCAAGACTATAGTTACAAAAACATTTAAGTTACCTGAAATAAAAACTAAACTTAACACAAAAAGTAGGAAACTACAAGAGGAAATATGTTTTAGTCTTTGTCAGAGCAACACACAGAATGTTTTGGTGAATAAGACTAGTGTGCATACATGACACAGAAATTGTGTTTTTATAGTGATACTTCTGAATTTCTTGAATATTTCCCTGACAAATACCCCTACATAATGAAAATTCAACTAAATATGAATAAACTCTCAACACAAAATAAAACTAATGAAATATTTACAATTAAAATAAATCTGTCTCCGAGTGGTAACACCTGTAGACATTTCCACAACTGGATATCAGCGTTCAAGGGAAAACACACTACTAGCAAAACAACCAGATCCGGCCATTAGTTGGAAAGCTTAGAAGACCTACACATTTTTAATGACATTTCTAGATCAGTGATGCATGAAGAGATTTATCAAAAGGTGGACAACACCATCATCCCAACTTTAAAGTCTGGTGGAACCAACATCATTGTTTGGATAGCTTGTTATCACTGAATTAAAGAGCAGCTGTCTGTGTTTTAAAGGAAAGGTTGGGTGAACTAGCAAACAAACATTAAATCGTCGTATGAGCAGCTACCGGAAACAGCCCCCATTTGAAAGCTGTAGCTGCTAAAGGAGGTTCAACAACGAGTTGCTACAAACAATAAAATAATATAAATCCACTTTTTGTGCTATATGTTCAGTCAGATTGTGTTTCTTTACAATTGTCACTGAAGATCAGACCAAGTATCATGACTGACAAAACTGCAAGTCCGGGTTTGGTAATTCCAAAGAGGTCACAAACCTTTTTTTTCATGCAAATGCACTGTATTTAAAAGGGGAAATCACAACAATCAATATGATAATTTTTTTACGCTGTGAGAGGGTGTCGTTATTAGGAATGAGGCCAATTTTAACAGGGACTCTTCTGTTTCTCTTAAATATTCAAATCTCCCACGCACCAAGGACTTTCAGTTGGAGGATCACTAATGGGAAAATTTTGTCTGTATGAGGTAAAAATTTCAGTTTCAGTACGCAGGAAAAAGTAACCTCATGGTGCATTGCGTTTGCTTTAAGGTTAGTGGACTTTTACCAAAAAAAAAAAAAAAAGCGGTCTTTTTTGTGTGTTGAGTATTTGAACATAACATTGCACTAATCATATTCGGTCTGCCAGCTCTCCTTGAGACATTTTATCCTTTCCTGATTAGATTACTCTGAGAAACAATGACCTCATTGATGAACTTTCCCACTCCCATGATTGCGTGTTGTGGAGGGCCCTCTAGATAATTTTGATACTAAACTGACAGATGTGTGTTTCACTTCTTACTACCAACTAAGAACAATTGAAGAAGTGTTTTTAAATGTTTCCGTTTGTACATGTGTTCCAGAGAGATGTGTTGTCTATTCTACAAGATGCTTCAAAATGTTTAGTTTTTAATGGTGACAGCCATAAGTAGCCATGACAATCAAGAGCATGTCTCTGAGAAATGTCATGGCGCAGCTAAAGTCCCATCACATGTCTGACTTTATTGATGTGCCCACTACATATTTTATACAGGCCAATTCCAGAAAGCTAATGGTTCAGGTTATAGCCTTCTGGTAACAGGAAATTCCAGGTATTTCCTAATTAATACAAACTTTAATAACTCATAGTAGTGCTGTTTATACTCTACCTGATCTGCCCCAAATGGAGTGATGTTAGACTTCACAGTACCCACACCTAAGGCAATTAAGAAAAGTCCACCATAGACTGCTGGGCCACAATATGGGGCACGAATGGGGCAGGTAACGTTTTTTGGAGTGGTAACGGTTGTGTTCAGACACTCAGCAGGCTGCACAGGAAATGCCATTTCTTCCCCGCACAGGTGTATCCTGGTGCCCTCGTTTGAAATAAAAGGGAAAAACAGCATGCCAAAAATGTACAAAACCAAACTTGCGGCAATGGTCAAGAATTTTCCGAGGTATGCATCAGCCAACCAGCCTCCAAATGGTGAAATCAGGTAAGTTACTCCCATGAACATGAGCGGTGCCTGGCTCGCCTGAGTGCCCTCCCAATAAAAAGGACTACCATTAAGAAAAAGAACAAAGTTGGACGTTATGCCATAGAAAGCAATCCTCTCTAGTGACTCGGCCAGCAGGATGGCCGCACATGCCAGTCTTCTTCCCTCGAAGACTGACGGTGGTGAAGGTCTGTTCTCAGTGTCTGAGTCCAAAAGAGGGGTGCTCTCATTGGCGTCCCTGTTGTTAGCCATTCTCGCCCAACTTAGTGAAATGGAGTTTCTTCCTTATTTTTAAGAGTTCAAACCTGAAGATAAAACACAAATATAAACCAAACGGTGACACCGCAGCACAAACACAAACAACTGTACCGGATTCACAACATCTAAATTGTCAAAGGAGAGCCCATTTTCTTGTCATATAGGTTTTTAGCTTATTACAAACCTGAAGTAAGCTAGCTTAAACACCACATCAGCTTGTTAAAGTTTCTCATTACCTTACCTTTAATGACAGAAACACGTCCCAGGGGTCTTCGGCTGTCTCCATCAATCTAGATCATACTAACCGCTCAAATGTTTCGTTTGTACTGTCTAAAAGCTGAACTTTATGAAAAGAGAACTGGGTGTCAACAGAAAAACAATGTCACAGTTCTGTCGCGTGACACATAGCTCAGTCAAAAGCTGTCACTCTTGCGTTGCTGTGGAGACGATCTGAAAATGAAACTTACGCGACGGGTACAGCAAATTGAGGCGCGCAACACCATCCATATGATATAGGGATTTGTTCCGCTTACGCAGAGCTAAACAAGGGGAGAAGGAAGTAGCTCTGCAGTGCAATTTAATCTTTTTTTTTTTTTTGTCTACGGCTGATTCTGTTATTATATAACATGAACCAACAGGGTTTGCGGTTTGGGGATGGGCATGACAAAAAAAGGAAGAAGAAAAAGAAGTGAAATTGGATAGCAGCACTTCGCCGCTTACAGTCATGTTTCCAGGGGGCCGTATAGAAGACGGACTGGTAAACATTACAAGCATGGTGCACTACCGTAGACGGTCTGTGTGCAACCCTAAGACGAGCAAGCCTTGCTCTTAGGTGCTGCTACGTGTTAAGTTACGGACAAGGAAATGTAATTGGAGCTCGGCTAAGCGAGCTCATTGAAACGTAGATGTCCCGCTCGGTGCCGTCAGCTTTTCGCGAATATTTCGCGTTAAGTAGCTAATTAGCACGTCAGCCCTGCTTTCAGTGAAGATATGAAATTACTTTTCATTGCCTGTCTCAGCCCCAAAACTGGGAACCATACTACAGCTGAGAGAATAAGGTAACAAACATAGTTGCTAAGTGTAGCTGGTTCTTATAGCGGGTATGATTCATTAATTATTAACCCATGAATATACTATGAGGCAATAACGGAGTATTTGACTTCATCAGGGCAAGTGTTGTTGATAAAAATCGCCTACTTCAATGTGAAATAAGTGTAACAAGTTGGCTCCAAATACAAACATTATCGTGTAATGAGACACCTTAAGATAAGTAGCAGTAAACACGGGTGTTGCCGGTGACCTTGGCTTCTGTTCTTAACAGGAACTGAGCTTAATTTAATGTGATTGGTAACACTTGTTCGTCTACTGTTTCATGTTAAAATAGCTCCACGGAAGACGTTTCCTGGCTTTAACCATTATGAATTTGCTCAACCACTCAGTCTTCCTTCCTGCCTTCCATAAGCAAATGTTAATTTTATGTTTTAGGTCCTACATTGAGTCAGCAGGACACACTTGCGAGCTCAGAGACGCAGGAGAGTTTCAGTCTCCTGCTGATGTGGTAAATCTGGTCTCTGAACATCCTAAGTTTGAAGCTGCACTGGCTATTCATCTTTTCAAAGCGGGCAGACTTCTCATGGGTAAACTGACTTGCTGTTATATCATCTACTTATCAGCTGTATACTTCAAATGTACAGCTTTCAGTCCCACATTGCCTTTTTGTTTTATGTCTGTTCTTTACAATAGATATTGAAATACCCTTTGGCGTAATCTTTGGCGGCACAGACATAAATGAAGATGTGAAAGTGGAGCAGAAGCGTGTGGTTATGGAACAGGTGCTACTGAAAGCAAGGTGATGTTGTACTGTTGCAAATTCCTATTTTAAAACTTCCGGATGGCTCCAAACTTAGTACATGAACTTTAGTCCTTCATATCACACATATTTCATACCATTTATAAAATGATTTTGGAAAAGTTTCATTTAAAATAACTGAAAAGTCACAATTTGCAAAAGAGTCTACATTATAAATAATGTGATATCTGCCTCATCTGTTGGATTTGTTAATTAGACTAGGAGGCTGCATCTACAGCACATTTGTTAGCGTCTTACGATAGGACAAGGAGCACAGATGCATTAGAGGTGGGAATGGAAAATCAGTTCTAGCTAAGAAATTCAAATTGTCCAATTTAGCAGAAGCTTATCAGTTCTTGCGTTTATTACATTTGTGCATTGCACAGCACTGAGGTCAAACTCAATGCAGGGAAGCTTTTGCACAACCAAGTCGGATGCAAGCCTTTCTTTCTGCTCTGTTTCTACAGTGCGTTACGTCACTGAGAAGATTTTTAAAAGCGCATTGCAATCAATAAAATCTCATCAATATTCATTCCTACACATGCCGTTAATCATGTATGCATTATATTTTTGGAGTGTCATTTCAAGAGGACTGCTTATTACAGGAAATACCCTGTAACATGTCTCCCATGAGAAGGACCTGCTGATTATATCAAATTTGACAGTTATCATTAATCATGACTTTATCCATGTTTAATATCTAGTATGTTAGTAATGTGTCATATCATATTTTTGCCAACTTCCTTTTTATAAAGGTTTGATTCAGATGTCTCCAACCTGAAGTGCGAGCAGGAAGTAAATGTCACCACTTTCATATCTTTTATTAAAATTATTCACATGAAATGAGAAAGCTTCTAATCCACTAATCATGTGATTTTTATGTATTTTATTCAGTCTTGGATATAACAACAAATCACAAGTAACACTGCTGTATGAATAAAAGCTTAAAATATTTTTTTCCTTCAATACATAAATTCCAGGTTTTCACTGGGGGTAAAAAAAAAACAACCCAAAAACTCTGGCCTCTGGGGCATGAAGAATCATAGACTGTATTTAAAGGAAGGACAAAGCCAAAGTCAGAATTCTTTCTAATGATCAGGAGGGGGCGAGACAGCTGTTTGCATGGATTAGCGGTGTGTAGATCGATACTTAAACATTGATTC